TCTCTCTCTCTCTCTCTCTCCCTCCCTCCCTCTCTCTCTCTCTCTCTCTTTCCTTCCTTTTGTCTCTCTGTCCCTTTTCCCTTTTTTTCTTTCATCTCTCTCTCACTTTTTCTTTCTTTTTTCTTTTTTATTTCTTTCTTTCTTCCTTTCTTTCTCTTTCTCTCTCTGTGTGAGTCTGTGTGAGTGGGGGGGGTGTTTCAAAAATTTTTGGAACCTCTTCTGTAGATGTGGCCTGCTTTCCAGGTCCACTGGTGGAACCTCTTCTAATCGGTTGGGTAGATTTGACGAACCGGTTCTACCGAACAGGTGCGAACTGGTAGGAACCCACCTCTGTTGCAACTTCAATGATCACTAAGTGATAAGTGGAGGACTACCTGTAATCTAAACCTTCCAGAGATCTTTGCACAATTGTCTTCTCATTCAATTGCTGCTGATCAGAGTTTGCATCAGCAGGGCCTGCAACATTCACTCCCTGGACATAGAAGCAACAATTTCTTTTTGACATACCCGACCCCGACCCCCCCCATACAATTTACCTGATTGTCGACGTCCAGACCGATTCCGTTTAAGGATGTCTTCAGGCTGTTGGCATGATAAGGACTTCAAATGCTCAGGACTGTATTTGAAGTGAGGAGGATCTGAAAGGAGTAGACACGTGTTTGTGAAAAAGACATCAATTATATCTGTTATGTCTGACCAGAATGTAGAATACATGAGGGAATGGAATTCTAATTGGGTCTGGGTCTTAAGAATACTGCAAGCCCATGTTACCTCCTGATTTACAAGAACAAGCATCATTTTACTCTTAATCCCTTTAATATTGAATTGTACAAAGAAGCCAAGACAGTGACAAAGATATTAAAAATACAGGAGACAGAACTTGGAATAGCTATAAGGGATGATGAATCCACATTCTGTTTATTATTGCTTTTTCCATCCTGTAAAATTCCCCCAAGTTGATGAAATAATCTAATATAGCATTTAACCTCTCCAGATGGGGTGTTATAACATATTTATTGACTGCATGTACCAATGATGCAGTGGACAGGAAGAATGAAACAGGAAACAGACACCTGAGACAAGAAGAGGGGAAACTTACAGAACGAGTCCATTTCCAAGATGGCTTCTTTGGCCTGAAGAAAAGGTAGAATTGCTTTAGTGGTTGTGGTTCCACAAATAAAGAAACAAAGCTGTGATACTGAAATGAGTATATGCCAACCCCTTTGTCATCCACAAAGAAGAGACAGAGGAGTAGAGAGGAGATATTTCTCTCCACTTAATTGTCGTGTGCAAAAAATACAAGAACGTGCTTTAGGCATTAACCTTTAATGCGGTTGGATACTAACTGCCAACCTCAGCATAAGCACCAACATCCACATAGATATTCCCCATCCCTTTTAGAAGAATTCTTATGTTTAAAAATTATCATTGGACTTTCAAAGATTTGTAAAGAGGGTGAATGTATACTAAAGGGATTCAGGGGAAAAAATACACAGGACGACCAAGATGTTTCCAGGTGGACTGGAAAGGCTCATTTTCAGCTCCCAACAGCTCCAGCCAGCATGGCCAATGATTTCACTAGGTGCTATTTTGTTTGTTTGTCAAATTTAGGTACCACCCTTCTCACTCATTATTTCCCTCCCCCATCCACAAATTCTGATAAAATCTGAGAATACGCATGGAGTCCTCCAGGCCATCAGACCATAAATCCCAAGGGCCAGGTAGGCTAGGGACAATGGGAGCTCTAGTGTGAACACCTAGGGAACATGCTTTAGAGAATGGCCAAAGAACATTTCTGAAAGATCATTAGGGCAAAGGGAGAACAATACCCACTCACTTTCTGAGGGATTATGGCATGGTGATTTTCTAAGATCAGGCGCTTGAGGTGGTGAGTCCAAACCCGCTTCTCGTCCCCTGATTTGGCCTGGTAACAAAAGTACACTCCATGAGTTTGAAAGGCAGTTGTGCACATGTGATCCTACCCCAGCTCAGCCTTCTGAATCTTCCTGTTCTTTGCTTAAAGTGTACATTCTTATATCTGCTCTTTATTTCCAACCCTAACTTCTCCTGCATTTAATCATTCAAATTTCATTCCTATGGATTGATTATCTTAATGTGCTCTTATCACATGATGCTGCACCTCAATCCTAAGCTGGTTTTATTGCTCACCTTACACCTCCTTCCTTCAAACACAGTCTGATCCCTGCATTTGCTACACAGAAACTTATAACTACTTAGTTTTCTCAGTCTTTCTGCTGGTTTTCCCAGTTCCCTCACTTCTGCCAACATTGCTACAAGCAGATTGTCCAGCCTGAGCTTTGAACCCATCACCTTCACCAACTACTGTCAACACACTAATAATGTCAGTGGGTCTTCATCTCACCTGAATGTTATACTGCTGCTTGTTATGCTTGTAGTGGGTGACAGTGAAGCAAAGTGAGTCCCGTGTGCTCTCAATCAGCATCAAAGACGAACACTGCAGGCCAGACAAGAGATGTCACTGCAGCCACAGCAATTAATGGCCATCCTGTTACACCCCCCCCCCCAATGCCCCATATATCACTTGAGGAAAGAGAAGCTTTCCTCCACTGAATAACTCCTAAAAGTGACATGAAGGCCATCTTCATTTTATTGGGCCAAAAAAGTGCATGGCCAGATTTACTTTGTATGTATTTTTTAAAAAAGTTGTTGTGGCTGTTATGTCCCTTTAGAATGGGATGGTATTGTTAGTGCAGAAAAAGAAAGGGAGGTCCTTTAGCTCAAAAGAGAGTTTGCACTGGGGCTGGGAACAGTCTCTGCACTACATTGAAGCAGTTTGTATAGTACTGAAGTTAATACATAAGGCAAGGACATTCAAATAAGGGCTGGAGAGGGGTATCTTTGGCTAGGAGGAAATAACAATAACATACTTAACTAGTTTAATAATTAAATTAACAGTTTAACAATAATATTCATCTAGAACAGCTATTATCTTTAACTTTGCCTTCACCATATCTACAGTAATACAAATAAGACTGGAGGGGGACACACACAGACATATATGTATATGTATCTGCACTGTATATGTATATATACAAAGTGTGTATCTGTCTGTGTATACATGTACCCAGAGGTGGCTGCTGGATTAACCCACCTGCCCCCTCTTGTTCTCTGCTGTCTACCCATCCATCTTCCTTACATTGTTGCATTCTCGATGTGTTCTTTTTCATTGTTTATTTCATTGTTCTATTATCTTACTTTCGTTTACACTCTTTTCATTCCTTTCTTTTCATTATTGTAAACTACCTAGAGCAGCCTCACAGGGAGATAGGCAGCAAATAACAAATAAATATCATTTTTTTCAAGGATAATCAATTTATAAGAAATTCCTTTCAAACTAGTATGAGTTTTGAAAAGTCTGATTTTTATGCTTCTGGCTTTTTAGATGGGGAAAGGGCTGCATGTGACAAAAAGGCGGCATTGGAGGGAGGAAATAAAAAACATCCAGGCAGAGGTGTTGGTCTTGTGGGCCTCTCTACAAGTCATTATAAATTCACATCAACCTCAGCTGTCAGAAAGAAAAATTTTAGTCAACAAAGAATGTCAACCTTTTCATCTCTTCTTGCTTCTACCCCCTCATCTTGATGGCTAAGTTATCAAATTCTCAATCTTATTTTAAAAGAACAGAACAAACAAAATAGCAAGCAAACACTTATTTCTAATGCAAAAGAGAAGCAGAAAGGATGCCCCACTTACTGGAATGTGATTCTTGAATATGTAGTGATCACCGCGTTTCTTAGTTATCAGCAAGATCTTGTCCAAAAGGAAGAATGTTCTCTCATTCCTAACACGATGTACCCGGAATGTGCCCTCTAGGACTAGCTCACCGTAAGTTGTCAGGTCTGGGCCCTTCCAGTTGATAAGTAAAGACTGGATTTCCTGCAAAGCCAAGGGAAAAATTAATTTTTTTATATCTGAGCCCTCCAGTACCCCGGTGATTTTCCAGATGTGCTGGGAAGAGCGGTCATAGGAATAAAAGTCCAGAACAACTGGAGGATAGCAGACTGGAAAAGCTTGCAAGTCTATCAAGAGCCATTTGAAGGAATGCAAAGATAATATTTAAGGTTTTTTTTTTAATAAGTTGCTTGAATCTTATAGCAATTTGTTGAATAATTTTTTTGACACAATTAAAATCAATACACATTTTGAATTAAAGAAGAATAAAGAAAAGTAAATAAGAGAAAAAATATAGGGAAAAAAGAAAAGGAAATGGAAAATACTAGAGAAATGACTTCTGATTTTCCTGATAGCAGTTATAAATGCATTTGTACTTTGCTTTTTCTCGCTAAAGTTACATCATTCTAAGGTTACATCATATCATAAATATTTGAGTTTCTTTAGAACTGTGTAAGGAAATATCACCTGAATTTTCAGAGGGATATACTTACTTGACCCTACTACACTGAAACTACTACAACTATCTATCATCTACGTTTCAGATTGAAAGCAGATCAGGCTCAAGATGCTTCTTTTTAATTACCTGCAGCCGCACGGCATGTTCATGCTTCCGCTTCATGTCATTGATATACCAAGCTACACAAGTCATAGTGGCAATTGCCTCTTCCACCACTTCGTAGCCATCTCCTTCTCTGTCAAAGTGCTTTGCTATCTCCTAGGAGAAAAGCATACTCAAAAAGTTAGCATGGAGCATTATGGATTTCTGTGAAGAACTTTCAATAGATATTTATTAATTTTCTAGAAAACAAATCAACCCCAATTATCAGTGGAGTAATTGATGTTTCAACCAGATTGCCTTCACATCTGGAAAACAGGTAAGGAACTCTTACATTTGAATACATACCATTCTAAGTAGTTTCACATAAGTTTGATTCCAATAAGAAGTCAATCCTTTTTTTTAATATTCTTTCTACCACTATATCTTTATATAATCTCTCTCTCTCTCTCTCTTTTGGTGCCTTTGAGTCAGTGTTGACTCCTGATGACTACCTGGACAAGTCACTACAGTTTTCTTAGCAAGACTTCAGAAGTGATTCATCATTGCTTGCTTCCTAGGGCTCAGAGTGTGTGACTGGCCCAAGATGGCTTTGTGCCTATGGTGGAACTAGACCTCTTAGTTTTTCATTTCTAGCCTGGTGCTTTAATCACTATATCACACTGGCTCTCTTCAAGGTGATTTATAAGAATGTAAATAAGATAGGGTAGGGTAGGGTAATTACAAATCAACTTAAAAAGAATATTACAGGTCTATTAGCACCAAAACTTCTTCGGTAGCTGATGATCATGACTGCTTTGCAACAGGTGGAGGCAGCATATTTCATAATACAGGCTGCTACCAAGAAGGTGCACCTCTGAGTGCCATGATTTTAATTGCATGGGATCAGAAGCTTCAGCAGTCCTTCTCGAGATGAACTCACAAGGCCAGAGGAAAGAGTCAGCCCTGTAAATGATGACCTGTGCAGAGCTTTTTAGGTTAAAACTGAGTTCACAAAGTTACTAGTAGGCAGAAATGTCCTCAGAAGATTGCTATTACATGACTAAATCCATTTTTCTCTATAGCAGCTGGTCAAGTGCAGTTTGGATTAAATGCATCTTTCAATTTTAAAGTCTCATGTAAAGCACGTTCCAGAATTCCAATCAGGAGGCAATGGGGGTATGAATCACAGTTCTCTATATTGTAGAAATTAATTCTTCATATCCCCATGTGCATACCACATCAACCAAGACTTCTTTAAGGGAGAAATGGCCTTTCCTAGAACAAGGTACTGTAGAGGTAGCTGTTACTATTTTAGGAAAAATGAGCAGACTGCATTTCACAATTTTTTTAAAAAAACTTAAAACATATTCCAAAGCTGAAGAATCAGATAACATAAGCAACCTGTTCTGGAAGACTGTGTTACCTGCAAAAGCAGATGATATTTGAGAATGCGCTGGACAGGCTTGAGAAGGTAGGAGCCAAGGGGCAAGGAGTGCCGGATTTGTTCCTGCCTCTCCCGAAAGAATTTGGCCAGTTGTTTGTTCCTCATACATTCAGTCAGAGCTGCCACAGAGCTGGAAAGTTAAAGCCGACACACAACAAATGGCATTAAAGAAGACAATTAATTGTATTCTCTGAAGGATGCAGTGACAGATCTGCTCAAAATAGCAAGTGCAGGACTGCAATAACGGTCTAAAACTGTGATGGCAAATCTATGGCACGTGTGTCACAGGTGGCACGCAGAGCCCTCTCTGCGGTCACACGAGCCATTGCCCAGCTCAGCTTCACTGTGCATGTGCGCATGCCTTCCAATGGCCAGCTGAATTTTGGGTCTCTGCGGTAGACGGGTGTGCATACAAGGCGTGGCAGGGAAGAGCGGGGTGGTGGTGCCCCCCTGTGCCCCATTTTTGGTTCCAGGCGGCTTCTGGGAGGCCTGTTAGGCCCAAAATGGGGACATGTGCATGTGAGCATGCATGGGGGTGGGGAGCGTGTGCTTGTGTAAGGGAGCATGGCACATGATGGGGGTGTTGCACATGCATTGCATTATGGGTGGGGCTCGCATGCACAATCATGCTTTTGGCACATGAAGACAAAAAAGTTAGCCATCACTGGGCTAAAACAATGAGCCAGAAGATGACCAGCGGCAGCAGAATTGTGTCCTGTTTTCGCCCCCTTAATGTCTCCTTCTCTTCTATGTGTATTTGTCTGGGATCACACACTGCCACACAAGCCCACAAAAAGCACCACTTCTTGGATCAGCAGTGGCACATGGCTACAAATTTACAAAACCAACCATTCCTGCAAAGTTTTTACAGAAAGAATCTGGAACCACTTCTGGCCAGATCTAACAATTATTAACAAGTCCCTGTCATGTTCAGTGCCACCTAATTATTAGTCTTGGGGTAATCTTTTGTAACTGAGCAGAATTAGTTTCCAGCTCAGCTGCTGCTCAAGAGAAAACACTATAAAGACAGTATTCCCAGTGGAGCTGCAGGGTTCGCATTTTCCCACTGTGGGGAATTCCTATCTCAACTGGCTTTGCGTCACAACCCTCAAGTGCTATTTCCTTGTTCTTTCTAGTACAACTGGAAATGGGGCTGCTGTTTCCTTACTGAGTGGCTGTGTTAACCCTTCACCATAAAACAAACATGGTAGGTCAAGGACGAGGACTGGGCTGTTGATGGAATACCTAGTTTTGCACTCCCTCAGTGACCAGTCAAAATATGTGTTGGACAATTTGCAAGGTTTCTAGCACTGAAATACTGCAATGATCCAAGTATGATTCTGAATATTTATGGAAAAGAGTAGTTATGTAGAAATGCCAAATGAATCAGCAGCTGAAGGATGAGGGCTGTACAGGTAATCCTTGACTTGCAAGTAGTTACTTAGCAGTTCTTACTCAGTCAGGCTCTGGGCACAATCATGTGATCTTGCCCAAAGATGTGGGTGCATTCCTTAACACAATTGCCCATAATCTCAGGAATTTAGGTAAAATAGTTGCACTTACTTAATTCTAATTTATCTAGAGGAGCAACCTGGGTGCCTGTTGACACTGCATGGCTGACCCTCAAAACAAGCTGGAAAATCTAGCTCTAAGTTTTGAGACATCTTGTCACTGAATATAAATTAAATATTCTTGCACAATATATGTTAGTCCTATATATGAATTATTCTTAGTATACACTGAGATGACCCAGAAGCATTTTACAACATTTGTAAAAAGATTCCAAGAATAAGCTGTCCTTATTATCATGAAATCACGTCCCCTTTTTGCATGACAAGGACACTCACTTTGGATAGTTATTGCAGTATTGAGTATAGATGTTGAAGTCTTGGCTCTGTTGGGGAAAGAGAAGAAAGATCCGTAAGATAAGTTCAATTCATCCTGTTCCCTAATGTTAATCATTCTGCAAATATCTCTGCCAGATGTCCAGCACAGATACCAATACCAACCTCACTGGGTATGTTTGGGGGATAACTCCTGGACTGATGATGTTACTTACCGTATTTTTCGGAGTATAAGACACACCTTTTCCCTCACAAAAGAGGCTGAAAATCTGGGTGTGTCTTATAGACTGAATACAGCATTTTTGGCCTCCTGAAACCCCGTTCCCTTTGTAAAAATAGCCTTTAGGAGGCTTCCAGAGTGCTCCTGGGGGCTGGGGAGGGCAGAAATGAGCAAAAAACAGGCCGTTTTTTGCCCCCCAGCCTGCAGGAGCACTCTATAAGCTTCCTAAATGCTATGCATGGCCATTTTTGCAAAGGGGACGGGGTTTCAGGAGGCCAAAAATGCTGTATTCAGTCTATAAGACACACCCAGATTTTCTTCTTTTTTTTGACAAAAAGGGGCTCATTTTCTCAAAAAACAGGCTGTTTTGGGGAGGTCTTCAGAGTGCAAAAAAATTTTGTAAAAATTTGCCTCTTGAAAATCTTGGTGCGTGTTATACTCCGCTGAGTCTTATACTCCGAAAAATACAGTAGTTTGGGTAATGAAACATTTGCAAGAAAACAAGCAAGCTCAGAGAGCATCAAGGATCTCTAACCTCTGTTCTCTTTCATGCACAGCTAGGCAAAATTTTCAGCCCCCAGGCTGCCACTAATTCCCTCACCCAGCAGAGCAGAGTGGTCAATCTTGGCTTTTAGCTATTTTAAGAAAACCTCTTAAGAAAGAGACAGAAAGTGTTTAACTTCTGAAAGATTTGGTGCTCCCACCGCTATCCTTCCTTTCCTATTTCTTAGTCAAACATCTTCTTCCTGAAATGGAGCTGTGATGCCATCTCTTCCCAGTGGTATTATGTCATGCTGCTTTAGGACCTGTGGACTTCTGCGTTAATGGAAGCAACCCAGTGAAGGGTGACAAAGCACTCACTCAAGAGAAGGGCGTGCCGAACCACCCAATTATGCACCCAATTATGAACAATCAGAGATGAGCATAAAGCAACATCGGTTTTGTCTGCTTACCCTGTGTACAAAACACTGCGCCACGGCAACAGGATCATTATGGCAACTATCCAGTTCTTGCAGTAATTCACTGCATAGAAATTGAAACAGAAAAAATAATTTATCAGTCAACTCAAGATAAAAAAAATAACATGCGATAGAAACTTATACATACTTTCACAGAGCAAACAGGGACATGCTGGAGACAAACTTCAAAACAACCCTTAATACACTGCAGTTTCAGAATTAAATGCAGAGCAGCAGACCATGCAATGGGTTTGGGCCCAATACCCACCTGTACAGGGGAAACCTGTCCACCACTGTCAAAGGAACCAAAAACACAAGGCAGATGTTATATAGAAAGAGGGGACACCCGCTAGCTGAACAACCAGCTGGTTCTCATTCAGTAGCCACCTATATAGTCATACCTGTTAAAATTAATACATTTGGGATCCTAAACTGAGAATACTGTATTTCTCCAATGTATAAGTTTTTCATAGACGCAAAGTAATGAGGCAATTTCTGCCCCAGGGACTTACAAGTTTAAGATGATAGATAAAACACAGGAGAGGAAGCAGATTTGCAAAGTTGGCACAGAACACCCAGTAGCAAATTGGACTCAATCTGCTCCTTGCTCCTTCGGTTCCTTATAGTTTACTCACACAAAGTGAACTGTTACTTCTCTGCTCTAGGAGTTTCTAGCCAATCATGGTAGGAAGATGCTGTTTGCTGCTAAACCATTCTCTTCACTATAGTAAGGCTGTTTGAACCAACCTTGGTTCACGCATAATACCAAGCCATGTTTTCACGTTCACCATTACATGCAAATCATACCATGAGTACAAAACTGTGTAGTACCCTAACATACAAAAACAAAACAAATAGATTGATTCCTGGGTGTGGGAGGAACATCTAACTTGGCTTTTACTTCTAATAAGCCAAAGTAAAAGGAGACATCATCTTTCTTTGCATGGATTTATCACATTACTCTACAATATTTTACCCAGAATTATAACAGCTTGATCATCCAAGAAAATTTAAGATCATAATAAGGGTAGAAGGGATAAGACAGTCTTTAAGCTAATCTGATTTCAAGACATTTAAGGCCTTAATTCATACTGGGAATAAAACATTTTTAAAAGATCATAATAAAATTCATACTTATGTGGACAAAAAAAATAGGGAAGGGACAGCAAATATAAATACATCTCCTGTAGGAAAAGGACTTGGACATGTTCCCCATTAAAGAGGAAATCATTTGCCTTCCTAGGTCCTTGATTTTTTAAAAACCTGGTTGAAAGTGAGAAAGATAACTCAATGACAGCAAGGACTAGCTGAAGGCAATAACTGTTGCATCACCCAAGGCTGTCTTAGTTGGATGGGTTGAAGTGGGGGTACAGAGCTTTTTTCCTGCCATGCTTTCTATCTCAGAGAGAACCGAACCTTTATAGGGGAACTGTGTAAAGTGAGCAACAATTGAAATGACAGGGAAGCTCTAAGGACTATGGGTTATTACTCACCTATTCAGCTCGTAGATATCTTCAATGTTCCCAAAGAGTGCGCTGACTTGTTCTGGCCGCAACAACAGCTCCTGAGTGTCTATGATGTTCCCCAAGTAATTCTGCCAAGTCACATTATGCCATGAGCATCACCATGAAGCAAGAAAACAGGGCAGACCACCACCATGAGTTCTAACCCAGTATTGTAGGAGTTGTGCCACAACCCTATCAGGTACCCTAATCAGTGCTCTGAGGGGAGAATTTATCTTCCCTTGACTATAGCTCCCATTAGACAATTTATCATGTTTGCACTCTGCCCAGACACTATCTATCAAGAAGCCATTTCCTTTTTATATAGTATTCCTGATAGCAGATTAGCAGAAAAATCACCGGGGCAACTTTAGGTCAATCATGAGAATCACCTTCACATAATCTGACATGACAGGCAAAAGGTCTTCCATGAAACTGTGTGCAGAAATGGCCAAGATACTATATTCCTATGTGGAAAGGGATCAGTGAAATCCGTGGCTGATAGGAAGGCATAAAGGGGGCACCTTTAAAATGAAATGAAAGCAGCTTTCAGATCTACAGCTTTTCCCAGCTTCCAGTCAGGTTCCCCCTTGGTTAGAGGAAGACTTCAGTGGCAAAATCAGATGAAGGGAGGACCTTAAGGCATCTAAAGTGTAGCAGTGAAGGGATATAAAGAGTCCAACACATCAATCGCACTAACCTCTATGATGGTTCGTAAATCCTGCACGTACTTCCGCTCGGATTCCACAATCTCCAAGAGAACCCGCTCTAGATAGCTACCTTTGGAATGAGAGGCAGCAGCAGAAAGGGAAGGGCTCCTCAGGCCTCTCCAGGGCCCTGAGGAGGCATTGTTGTTGGCATTGTTCAGCACTCCAGTCTTCAGGAGCACAGAAGCATCCGAAGGAGTTTGCGCCATGTTCTTCCAGTCATCCAAAATATGGGGAGCATTGATTAACGTTTCAGGCAACTGCCTCATTGAATATTCTGAGACACTCATGCTCAGGACAGTAGAGATTGCGACTCCCTCATCTCTGCCAGGATATGGGGCATCCAAGAACCTGGAGTTTTCTGAGGAAAGAAAAAGCTTATTTTAAAACCGTGTAATCTTCCTCTGCATCTCAAGATACAGTAGTTATACAAGTAGTCCTCGACTTACAACAGTTCATTTAGTGGCCATTCAAAGTTACGACCACACATAAAAAAGTGACCTATGACTATTTTTCACACCTACAACCACTGCAGTCTCCTGGGGTCAGGTGATCAGTTTTTGCAACCTTCTAACAACCAAAGTCAATGGGGAATCTAGATTCACTTAATAATCACGTTACTAATTTAACAAATCAATTATTTCCACTTAAAAACTGTGGCTAGAAAAATCGTAAAATGGGGCAAACTCACATAACGAATGTTTCACTTAGCAACATAAATTTTGGGCTCAATTGTGGTTGTAACTCAAGGACTACCTATATAACTAAGAAGCCTTTTTAATTTTTTGCAATCAATGGGCATTAATGACCTCTAGGTTACGTTTCTCTGTCTATATCAGAGGCATCAGTAAACACCAGGCTAATGGGGAAAAGGAGGTTTGGCTTCCTACACAAACACAGGCCCTAAGAGTGCCTGAAACTGTTATTGTCACAGAAATACTACTTAGAGTCTGATCCATCACACATAATTTAATGGTCTAGTCTACTGTTAAAAGATGGCTGCACATGGAAAGATAAAAGTCTAATTTCTTCAGACCATTTATTAAATAATTATTTCCCTTATTTCCATCTGACACAGGACAAAAAAAAAATGATACAAATCTATCTGAACAAAACCCAGATGCATTAAAACATGTTTACCACCAGAAATCACATACTGCCTTTGTTAAAATGAAAATTATTGAAATGGGTTGGTCTTTGATCATAAATCTCACATGAAGCAGCAGTGAGAGACAGAATTGTCAGCACAGCCTCAGAACCAAAAAGTGAGCTGCTAATGAAACCTACTTGGAGTCTTTTCTGATCCCAATCCCGTGTTAATATTTCCTTCCCCAGCCCTCTGCTAGATTAACACTCCTCCATCTTCAGCCACTCTGGAAAAAGCTCACCATCTTAAATGGAAGTCAGCATTTCATAACCCAAATACATTTTCTCCACAGCACTAGTACATGTCCTGCCATGCCGCATGCTCTCCACCAAACCCTTAAGAAGTTTAGCAGGCAGGCAAACAAGTGGCAACAGGCCTGTGTGTGTAGGAATCATATACAATCAGCCGCAATTACTTTCATCTTCGTCTCTCTCCGTGTCTTTCTCCCTCCCTCCCTCCCTCCCTCCCTCCCTCCAGTTTTCTTCCCATTTCCGCAAGAGACTTTTTTCTGCCTCAAAATCTGGGCCTTTCTTTGAAAATTACCTTGCTTTCTTACAGAAAAACCCATCCCATCTTCACCAAACACTGGAAGGCTGTCCACAGTATTCATCTCTTCCCAGATCAACATCATTCATCATCTCAGCCAGGCACTGTAGATGGTAAATGAAGCATGGAGCAACCTGTGAATCCTGAATAGCCAATGAAGGTGTGGAGCCTTTTGATGTCACTTCTCCAAACCACTCCTCTAGATAAGCACCACACCTCAAAAACTGGCATTCTATTCCTCACTAAGGATTTTGACCAAGACACGCTCACTTCCTCCTCCTTTCTCTACAAACATAGGAAGGAAAAAAAAGATGCTCGGCTGTTCTGACAAGAAAATATCCAGAAGTACTGTCATGTGTTGCCAAGATCTGGGACCATCTACGCTAATTATGGATTTCCTCCATCTCTCAAGTAGCCTAGGAGCCACGGGTATATGTGAATGAAGCCATTCACCACAAGCAAAATCCCAAGTGATTCCTCAGGAACTCTTTGAAGATGGCTGTTTTCAAAAGTCTCCTAAAATTGAATTGTATATTCTCCATGCTTATCTTAATTACTCATTTTGACAGCCAAAAAGAGACTGCAAATATATCAAATATTTGCTATTAAACATCACAAGATAAACAAAATAATCTGTTTTAATCTGTTTATGAAACATCATAAAAGCAAAATGAAACAGAGTGAAAGCTTTTGCTCATCACCACTGATAAGAAGAATGCCTAAAAAGTCTATTCATTTACTAACTAGAGACCCAACTGGAAAAGGATGCATTTCTCTAAACAGAAGACCATGTTATCTTGATTTTTTGTTTTGTTTAACAAGGGGATTTTGAATTCTCAAAGCTTGCTTGATTTCCAATCATTCCACAGTGTGCCAATCTACACAAAGATTGCAGAAATCTCTTGTCCTAATTACTGTGTCTGGAAAAATTCACACACAGGTTACTGGCAAGGAAAGAATTTCACACACAATTAGAACCAGCTAAGTTTCTTGTGCATATGTCTAAAGCAGGATTTCTATTATAGGATTATATATTATCCTTTGGATTGCCACACCCAGAATTACCAAGACTAATTGCAACAAACCTGAAAGATACCAAGGTAGGGAAAGTTGTTTCTGAAGTAAAGAGAAAAATTGGCAAACATGTTTGCATGCAGGTGTGACGTGTGGCACCACACTATTGTGGTGAACTTGAATTTGATGGAACTTCCTAACTTCCAAATTCAGTATTACACAATTTAATCGTTAAGCCCAACTTCTTAGCCTAATATGCTCTCGGTGTCAAAAATGCTTCTTAGGTAAATCTGATTCACACTAAAATTTGGGCTTATACTGGTATTCATTAGAACTGGTTAGGAGTAATCGGGTCCTTCCTTCCAAAAAGCAAGCAAGAATTGGTCTAATGGTTAAGACATCAGGCTAGAAAATGGGAACTCCTGAGTTCAAGTCCCACCTTCACCATGAAAGTCAGATGGGTGATTTTGGGCCAGCCACTCATTCTCAGCTCAACCTTCCATACATGTTTGTTGTTGTGGGGAAAACAGAAGGAGGAAGATGTGTTGGATATGCTTACCGCCTTGAATTATTTGTGAACAAAATAAGAGAGGAAAAAACAGATAGATAGATAGATAGATAGATAGATAGATAGATAGATAGATAGATAGATAGATANTATGGTCTACCTTATCAAATGCCTTACTGAAGTCCAAGTAAATCATATCGACGGCATTCTTCTGGTCCACTAATTTTGTCACTTTGGTTGAGGGAGCAGAATTTAACCATCCAGAATTGCTCATTTTGGGCAGTTAAAGATGGCCAATCTCTAAATTTGATAAATAAACAAACTTCCAGGGGCATTTGAGTTCTAAGTTCAACTCATCAATTCTATGGATAAATTATCTTTTAAAAAAAACTGCTAAGTTTCTTTAGTTTTAACATACAACAGCCACGTTTTCTCTCCTTTTACAATCACCTGGACCACAAATAGGCGTTCTGTTTTAAATCTAGTTTGCATTCAATAATGATGCAGCTTCCACAGGATTAAGTAACCAGAATGAATTTCAAACTGCAATTCTTTTTCTAACAACTGGCACAGCCAGAATATTTCAGATATAACATGAAAAGAAAACCATGATTATAACATTATGTATAGTTTTGGGTATTTCAACTGAAAAAGAACAACTTAAAACAAGGGTAGGTAACTATGGCCCTTTTATGGCTTTGTAGACTTCAACTCCCAGAATTCCTGAGCCAGCCATGGGAGCTGAAGTTCACTAGTCATAAAGGGGCGGTAGTTCCCCATCTTTGCCTGAAAGCAATGGTTTCAAATGGTGGTATATGGGACTCAAAGATAACCTAAGTGGGATGCAGGATAGTTACTGAAACTTCATATAAGTCTTCAGAACTTACATAAATGGTCACTGCACATCTATAAAATAAATGGAAACCTCCGGAAAAAAATAAGCTTTTTATTCCTATTTTGACTTCACATACTTTTCCAGAAAATAAAATTCTCAATTCAAAGCAAAAAGGTTTCACTTTCTACCACAGCCTGCCTGTGAACTTTCACTAACATCTGATTTGACAAGTTCGTGAACTGAACTAAATGGTAAAAATTATTATGTTGCAAAAAATTTCACTTTGGGGTTTCCCTTTTACTAATGTGATAAGAAAAAACCCCACGGGAAGAAATCAGTTCATCTTTGTGGGCCTTTTGCTATCAAGTGATTTTGATGCTTTCTGGAGAAGCACAAAACAATCCCTGCCTGTGGGAATCACCCCTGCAACCACAAATATCCTGTCTGCTTTTACTGATTAGGAACTGTGTTGTATATTGTGTGTTGTGTGAGGGANGATAGATAGATAGATAGATAGATAGATAGATAGATAGATACATACATACATACATACATACATACATACATACATACATACATACATACATACTGCTACAGAGAAGAAATGTGTATTCATATATGCAAGGCATAAATACAACAAGATTGAACCTTACAGTACTGTATAAATTCTAGCACAATAGTCAGAAACCCCCAAACTTGCTGCTGCCAGGAAGAACAACAACCAGCCAAAACAACACAAGCTGAGATAGAAAAACTGATGAGATGGTGGTGCAGACTCTTGGTGGCAGCAAAAAAGGGGAATTGCTTCTGAACAAGTTTGGCAGAGCTTCCCCATTAAGGCTTTGTTTGCTGAGGAGCAATGGTGATTTGCCCTAAAGCTGGCTGTGAGCTAACTGAGGGAGGGAGTATCTAAGCAGAAACATGTAGCCACTACATAAGAAAAATAGAATTCAACACTCTATCAATCTATCATGGTTGCCGAAAGTGAAAGGATTGGGTGAAAGGAGCCTTGAGACAATTAGGGCATCAAAAGATATATAGGGGAGGAAGGGACTATCATTCCTGAATGTAGGATTTACTTTTGCCAAGCTCTACCTTTGAAAGATTGAATTACCTTGAACCTCTGTAAACTCTTTAACATGATCAAAGAAAGCAGAGGTTGCACATTTGTCTGCATATATCTTTTCAATATCACATGGATTACCAGTCACAATGTTAGGCAAGGTCAGGATAAACACTGGATACAATTTCATTAAATTCTAAGATTGAAATAAATTTAACTTGATAATTCACCATGTTTTAGTAATTTTC